CCATTGGTTTATTGCAAAGCCTGCAAGGACAAAGCTGGTTATAGTGAGAGATTTACTTGATTCCTCCAATCCAATGATGCTGGTGCTTTGCCATGGCAGATGGATGGGGGAAGGGAAGAGTACTATCACCTCACCCTGTCTTTTGGTGAGCTTGACCTACAGTTGACAAACACACATGCACCATCCCATCTGCGGTAGCTGAATGTACACAAAACTAGAGACTTTCAACTTTTTAAAACTTCTGAAAATGTGAATCTGCTCCCAGTTACTACTTGAACGTGTACTGTTTGCTGACTATCAGTGTTCCACACCAGGTGAACTTAAACCCTCGCATATTATTCACTATAATCCTCTGGGATTCTTCATGACCTCATTGTGAAAAAACAAGTCCATTGAAAAACTTAGGATATGATGGCAACAGGGTTGGTCTTATTCATAATGGTCAGTTGGGAATTTGTTTGTTTTTCTCTCCAAAGGAAAACGAGAGTTTTCTACAAAAATGTTTTGAGTCAATTTTGGCTGCACAGAGTGAGAATGAAATGTAGCATTTTTCAGATTTCCACCCCGCCCCCTCAAAACGTAACTGCTACAAGTGTGTGCCAAAGAATGGAGAGGTGTTTTGTTTTCTAATCGGGGTTTGGAAGCTTGCTTTTGTTTTTTTTAGGAGGAGGAGGAGGAGGAGGAGGAGGAGGAGGGTTCAAATAATTTTCCAGCCAGCATATCCAGTGGTCAAGATGGTCGAAACATTCTGGGAATTGTAGTCCAACAAAATAAGTACTTCATGCTTCATTTTCTAGGTGTCTCAAAATTCAGATTGTTCAACATGGTATCAAAGTCAGAGCATCCGTACAGACAGGTCATAGAAGCACCCTTGTCTCTTCATCAAATCAGCTTCAGTAAAATTTACTGAAACTAGACATCCTCTTTACACACATCCCACACACGTGATGGATTCCAACTGTTATCAAAGGGCTAAAAATATAAACTCAGGTTTCTAAATCTGGTTCTAATACCAAAAGTCTCTACAAAGGCTTGCTGACGATCGAAACAATTCTCTTTAGAGTTAGATGTGGTGACAAATATGTCAGAGATAATTTGAGGCAGGGGACTGATGAGGCTTACATTCATGGAAATATCTAGTTAGGAATAAATCCCATTATATTCAAGGAACTTAATTCTGAGTAGAACATGGACAAGTTTGCATGTCTTGGTTTTGTCTCTCTTCCTCCCAGTCACCTGGAGGAAGTCATGCAAGGTTTCACAATACATGGCTGTTTAGTTGATTGTGCCTATTTATACCAAGAAGATGAGGGTTTGAGAAACTGTGGACGTGTTCAGAAGCACATGACTTGCAAGCATATAATTGAAAAAGAAAAGAAAATGGCCTGGTATGCAGAGTGAGGGGAGAGGTATAGCATTTATTGCAACCTCTTCTTACCTGGTATATCAGAGAAACGCTCCGTTGCTGGATTACAACATTTAAAATAGGAAAAGTATATGTGTGGGGAGGGGGAACTATTCAAATTTGAAGGAACCATTTGGGTAAAAGGTAGAATAAATAGGTGATGCATTGACAAATAAAGGCCTTTGCATAGATAAATATACAAAGCCTACACACAGTGGTAAATGCTTGGTGGTATGGGGATACCAAGCCACCTTGTCTGTCTCCTGTCTGTCTCCTGAGGAATCTGTATAACGACCAAGTAGCAACAGTAAGAACAGACCATGGAACAATAGACTGGGTCAAGATGGGGAAAGGCGTACGGCAGGCTGTATACTCCCACCCAACCTATTCAACGTGTATACAGAATGCATCATGCGATGTGCGGCGCCTGAAGAATCCAAGGCTGGAGTTAAAATTGCTGGATGAAACATTACGAACCTTAGATATGAAGATAATACCACTTTGATAGCTGAAAGCGAGGAGGAACGGAGGAGCCTTATAACCAAGTTGAAAGAAGAAAGTACAAAAGCTGGGTTGCAGTTAAACATAAAAAAGTCAAGATTGTGGCAACCAGACTGATTTGATAACTGGCAAACAGAGGGAGAAAATGTGGAGGCACTGACAGATTTTGTATTTCTAGGAACGAAGATTATTGCAGATGCAGATTGCAGCCAGGAAATCAGAAGACATTTACTTCTTGGGAGGAGAGCAATGACCAATCTCAATAAAATAATGAAGAGTAGAGACATCACACTGGCAATGAACATCCGCATAGTTAAAGCAATGGTATTCCTCATAGAAATCTATGGATGTGAGAGCTGGTCCATAGGGAAGGCTGAGCGATATGGAAGGAAAAAGGAAGAGGGGCCAACCAAGGACAAGACGGATGGATGTTATCCTTGAAGTGACTGGTTTGACCTTGAAGGAGCTGGGGCTGGTGATGGCTGACAGGGAGCTCTGGCATGGGCTGATCCAGGAAAGCTTAGGAAAGCTTAGAGAAGACAATGATGATGGGGAAAATGGAAGGAAAAAGGAAGAGGGGCCGACCAAGGGCAAGATGGATGGATGGCATCCTTGAAGTGACTGGATTGACCTTAAAGGAGCTGGGGGTGGTGACGTCCGACAGGGAGCTCTGGTGTGGGCTGATCCATGAGGTCACAAAGAGTAGGAAGTGACTAAACAACAACATGCATACAGTGGGCCCTTGATATCTGCTGGGGTTTGGTTTGGACCTCCGTGGATACCCAAATCCATGGTTTCAAAAATTTAATGTTATACTAAAATGACCTTCTGTATACAAGATTGTAAAATGTTTGCTTTTTGGATTTCTTAAAGATTAAGTCATGGGTGGTTTCTTACATTGATACAAAAGGCCAAGTGTTATTTTGAATGGTGGCACAGCCAAACAATGTATGTAACTGTTGGGCTGCTCTTAAGTTTAGCAAGAGAAAGTGTCTTGTAGCCCCTTCTAAATGCAACTCCCAGTGGTCTAGATCTCTTTTACAGTACACAGTTATAGGCAATCCCCAAGTTATGAACAAGATAGGTTCTGTAAGATCAAGTACATTTTTAAGTGTAACGCCTGCCTGCCCGCTCGCTCGCTCGCTCGCTCGCTCGCCCACCTGCCCATCCATCCATCCATCCATCCATCCATCCATCCATCCATCCATCCATCCATCCATCTATTCTAGCTTTGGGTAGCATAGGGAAGGATTAACATCCCTGTGGTGTTTGGTTTGCCGTCTGTGCCCCTGTTCAGAAGATTTCACCTCACCTTCTGTCCCTGTGATAATTCGATTTTGAAAAACGTGGCTTGTTGTGGAAAGAAGAATTGGTGAGAAAGCTTTAATGGAGACACCTTTTGCCCATGATAACTATTTACAGAAGTGAATTTCTCTTCTGAGGGGTAGATTGCTCTCACTTCTTGTTGTCTCACCCCAGTTCTTAACTATGAGTTGTTTGTAAGTTGGATGTTTGTAACTCGGGTACTGTCTGTGTATCATTTTCATGCCACTTCAATTACTGTGGCTGTGTAGAATCCTGGTATCTGCAGCTTGGTGGTGGTCAATTGCTTGACCTCCCTGGCAGAAAATTCTAAATACCTCATACTTGAAGCTGAGAGAATGTGACCAAGCGGGATTCCATGGCTAAGTGAAATTTCAAATCCTGGTTTCCTTAGCAGTATCTTAACACTCAAGCTACCACACTATGCTGGCTCTCTGCTGGTCATGTGTCCACTTTAGCTCCATCATGACCCCATCTTCCAAGTAAATCAACAGACTATACCTTTTGTTTTGCTGCATTTATACATTTATTTTTGCTTTCCCCACAAGGTGCATACCTGCCTGGTAAACAACAATCTGGGGAGTCTGGTGACCGAGATCACTATCTTTCTAGTGAGCTGATCATTTGCCATGGTTGGCCCAGACCTTTTATTCGCAAACAATAAAGGTCTTTAAAGCTGGTGCCTCACTAAATGAGAACTCCCTTAGCATTTGCCTTGCCCTGACTGTTGTTTATATGTTATCAGTTTTGGGGCCTTGAATGTTTGCATTTTCGTCATTTTTGTAAACTGCCCTGAGACCTTTGGGGAGAGAGGGTGGGTTATAAATATATTATTATTATTATTATTATTATTATTATTATTATTATTTACTCATATCAGATAAAGTGGAGTCAAACTGCAAGAATTCTACAGTGGAGATACCACTTAATTTGATGGATTCATGGGAGTTGTAGTGCTTTAATTATTTTTTACTGGTTTGATGGGATTTTAACTATTGGTTTTTAAACATTCTGTTTAATTCTATTTTGATCATTATATGTTGTTGGTTTTAAATAGTATTTTTTCATGTGAGCGGCTTTGAGTTTTGTTTAAGAGAGAAAAGTGGGGTATAAATATAACAATCATGGCTCAAAGCTGTGAAATCCTGGGAGTTGTAGTTTTCCAAAGTCTTTAGCCTTTTCTACCAAAGAAAACAGGTGCCTCACTTAGCTCCAGCAGACAAGAGTCCTTTGTCCTACCCTGGTCTTTCCACAGATATATAAACCCTTTTTCCTAGTTCCAACAGACCTCACTACCTCTGAGGATGCTTGCCATAGATGCAGGCGAAACGTCAGGAGAGAATGCCTCTAGACCATGGTCATATAGCCCGAAAAAACCTACAACAACCCAGTTAGTGTAATATTTTGCTGAATGGGACACAGATCTGGTCAAAACAAGCAGACTTTCCCAGGTTGTTTTGCTAACTGTGTTTCCTTTCTTCCAGCCAACCAACCCCTATTCTCTCTCCCTTTCCTCTTGATCCTGCAGCTCCCCTACTAGGCAAAGCCCTATAAATAGCCCCATTGCAGAAGGCCTCCTCCCCCTCCTCCCTCTCCTCACCCCAGCTGCTCTGACCATGTTCCCGGAGCCTGACTTTCCGAGTACCGACGTCACAACTTCCACCCTGCTGAGGTCACAACTTCATTAGCATATCCAGCGAGCGCTCGGCCAATCAGGAGCTCGCTTGGCCGGTGACGCCTGCCTGGTCCAAGCGTATTAAGAGTCCCGCACGGAGCCAGAGCTGGACGAGTTAAGGGAGGGGGAGAGCGGCGGATGCGAAGGGCGCCTTCTCCGGAGAAGAACGAGAAGGAGAAGAAGCAGCAGCGCCGTCTTAAAGGGGCCGCCCTGAAACAAAGAGAGAGGAAAACAATCCGTCCCATTCCTTGAATCTTGCTAAACGAAAGCAATCATGAGCCAAACCCAGCGTTGGAGTGGGAGCTGCGTGACCAGCTGCAGCCGGGCGGACATGGTGCCCGAGATCGCCGCTGCCGTGGGCTTCGTGTCCAGCCTGCTCCGGACCCGAGGCTGCGTGAGCGAGCAGCAGCTCCAGGTGTTCAGCGGGGCTCTGGAAGAGGCGCTCACAGGTGAGGGAGGGGAGAGGGGATCTCGAGAGCCACAGCTACAGTGTAGGTTAGGCAGGGGCCAACTTGGGCCCTCCTTCCAGGTGCTTTGGACTTCAAGTCCCATCATTCCTAACAGCCTCAGGCCCCTTCCTTTCCCCCCTCAGCCAGGAAAAAAGGAAGGGGCCTGAGGCTGTTAGGAATGATGGGACTTGAAGTCCAAAGCACCTGGAGGGAAGGCCCAAGTTGGCCCATGCCTAGTAGAGATGCACCCTTTGTTCTGCGAGTCTTCTTTGTTCTTCTCCAAGAGGCAAGCCATGGCACAAAGTCCTCCCAAGCACTGTTGCAAACCACAGTGGGAGGACTGACCATGAGCTTTCGAGGACATTTGAAACCCCCCAATCCAGGAACCCCGTGGCTTTGTCCGAATCAACCCACACACTGTTTCTCAACCTTCCCAATGCCGCAACCCCTTGATACAGTTCCTCCTGTTGTGGTGACCTCCCTCCCCAACCATAAAATTATTTTTGTTGCTACTTTGTAACTATAATTCTGCTACTATTATGGATCGTTGTGTCAATATCTGATATGCAGGGTGTATTTTCATTCACTGGGGCAATAATACACCTAAATTTAAATACTGGTGGGGATTGATTTTGTCATTTGGGAGTTGTAGTTGCTGGGATTGATAGTTTGCCTACAATTGAAGAGCATTCTGAACTTCACCAACAATGGAATTGAACCAAAGTTGTCACACAGAACTCCCATGAACAACAGAAAATACTGGAAATGTTTGGTGGGCATAGACCTGTTTTGTGGGGGGAGGTTGATTTTGTCATTTGGGAGTTGTAGTTGCTGGGATTCATAGTTCACCTCCAATAAAAGAGCATTCTGAACTCCACCAATGATGGAATTGAACCAAACTTGGCACTCAGAACTTCAGTGACCAACACAAAATACTGGAAGGGTTTGGTGGGCATTGACCTTGAGTTTTGGAGTTGTAGTTCACCTGCATCCAGAGAGCACTGTGAACCCAAACAATGATGGATCTGGCCCAAACTCGTCACAGATACTCAGCATGCCCAAATGTGAACACTGATTGAGTTTGGGGGAAATAGACCATGACATTTGAGAGCTGTAGTTGCTGGGATTTATAGTTCACCTACCATCAAAAGGGATTCTGAACTCCACCAACAATGGAATTAAACCAAACTTGGCACACAGGACTCCCATGAGTAACAGAAAATACTGCATTTTCTGATGGTCTTTAGTGACCTCTCTGATACTCCCTCACAATCCCCAGGTTGAGAAATGCTGACCTAGAGAACCATGAGCTTGAGGACATTGGAAACCCCCAAATCAGGGAACCCAATGGCTTTGTCTGAATTGACCAGCAGCAAAGGACCTTGGAAGAAGGGGCAGCTGAGCTTGTCTATTCTAGGATATCAACACATAGTCTTGTGGCACCGCCAGAGCTCAGATTTATTTCAGAAGGGATTTCCGTGGCTTACAAGTACATCCTGAAATCAATCTGTTCCTCTTAAAGGTGTCACAAAACCTTTTGATACATTTGCTTAAGTGTCTTATATTACAGGCAAGTCTGGTCTTGCAACTTCCTCAAGGTGTATTATTCAGTGCTGAAGTGAGTGTTTCTATGTTGTCGAAAACATAGTTTCCTCATAGCTCCATCCTTTGTCTCTGCTCAGATGTAAGCCTGGTTGAATTCGCCGGTGTTTAACATCAGGCAGCCATTTCTTCCTGTTGCTTATAACTATGGGCTTTGTGAATCTAATATTTTATTCGATAATGCAGTGTGTTGTTGAAGGCTTTCATGGCTGGAATTATTGGGTTGCTGTGAGTTTTCTGGGCTGTATGACCATGTTCCAGAAGCATTCTCTCCTGAAGTTTCGCCTACATCTATGGCAGGCATCCCCAGAGGTAGTGAGGTTTGTTGGAAACTAAGCAAGGGAAGTTTATGTCCAGGGTGGGAGAAAGAACTCTTTTCTGTTTGTAGCAAGTGTGAATGTTGCAATTAATCACCTTGATTAGCATTGCAAAGCCTTGCTTAGTTTCCAATATGCCTCACAACCTCTGAGGATGCCTGCCATAGATGTGGGCAAAATGTCAGGAGAGAATGCTTCTGGAAGATGGCCATACAGCCCAGAAAACTCAAAGCAACCCAGTTTAATACAGTTTAAGAGATTTTCTAAGCACAACTCATGATACAATAGAGTGGTATGTTGAGTTGAGCTACAGGAGTGGATTGCAAAGGCTGTATGCTAATGGCATTGTCTGCTAAGGAGCTTTCAGTAATCATGGAAGCTCTCTCGTTAATGCCTCCTGGGTTCTTCAAGCCCAGGCTTGTACGAGTACATCTCTACTACAAAATAACTGAAGTCTGGCACTGCTATTAACTGCTGTGGCTTCATTGTCTAGTAGCTTGGGATCTGAAGTTTAGTGGGGCACTTAGAATTTTCTACAAAAGCGTATTACTGCATTCCTATGACTTGGAGTACTAGGAGTCTGTAACAAAGAATTCTTAAGTGTCTCACCATGATGGTTTATAGCAGCATCAGATTTTTTTCCCATATCAGGAGCAACTTGAGAAACTGCAAGTTGCTTCTGGTGTGAGACAATTGGCCATCTGCAATGACATTGCCCAGGGGGTGCCTGGATGCTTTACCATCCTTTGGGAGGCTTCTCTCATGCCCTGACATGGGGAGCTGGAGCTGACAGACAGAAGCTCACCCTGCTCCCTGGATTCAAACCGCTGACCTTTTGATCGGCAGTCCTGCCAGCACAAGGGTTTAACCCTTTGCACCACTGGGGGCTTCTAGCAGCATCAGATGGCTACAGCTATATAACTGAGATCCATTACAAATTTTAGTTCTTCTGGCATAAAGGAATTTATCATGCACAGTTTCTTGCAGTCTCTGTAGCCCACTGAAATACTCTCATTGGGCCAAGGGCAGTTGAATTTCTGATTACCAGTCTCCTGAGCTGAGCAATGTATTTGAACAAATGTTGTATTGTGCCCTGATTTAGTTGTCTTCTATAAGAAAGAGTAGTGTGGATGGTGGAACTTTCTAACATTGTCAGGGAGCTAGAGATTTCATTGAAGCCAATATCAAAGACTTCGTAAGAAGTCTAAAGAAAATACACACAACCGAGCCTGTGCCTGCCTTTGTCAAAGACTGTAGGTCCTCTGCTTTAGCAATCTACTTTATTTACTTATCCACCATGGTATTTCTCTTTGTCCCTTTGCAGAACATTACAAACATCACTGGTTCCCTGAAAAACCCTTCAAAGGCTCTGGCTACCGCTGCATTCGTATCAACCACAAAATGGATCCCATCATCAGCAAGGCAGCCTGCCAGATTGGACTCAGCCTCCAGCAGCTCTATCAACTCCTGCCCAGTGAACTCACCCTGTGGGTGGACCCTTATGAGGTATCCTACCGCATTGGTGAGGACGGATCCATCTGTGTTCTCTATGAAGCGTCTTCGGCACCCGTGAGCTCCTATGGGATGCTCACCTGCAAAAACCAGATGATGCTGGGGCGCACCAGCCCTCCCAAAAGCTACATGATGACCGTTTCCAGCTAAGCACTCCCGGTTGTCCTTACACTGCCAAGACCTGGGCTACTGTATACCTCACCCGAGGATGTATTTTTTAAAAAATGAAGAGCTATTTATATTTTTTTAAAAAAGAGAAAAAATCCAAAATGAAATCCAATAGCAGGCACCACTTTTTCTGTGGAGTGGTGTTGAGGTGCCTTTTTAAAAAAGCTGTTGCAAGCTTCTAAGTTTATTAAAAAGAAAGAATGCCAATATCTACCTAATTAGTGTTGGATGACAATTCTGGAAGGTTGATCTGCCTATTTGGGAAATGCAGGGTTGGAAATAAGTTGGGGACGGGGCAGGGTACAGCACTTTTTCAGGAATGACTCACTATGGGGGTAAACGTGTCAACAACTGAACTTGCAGGCCACAATGCCAGGATGATAGTACTTCACTGATCAATCACACATATTGATTGGGGTGCAATGACCTCATTCTAGCTGTGGTGCTTTTGTCTTCTCAAAAGGTCTTTTTCCTCCTTATTACACTGAGGCGTTACTTCATCACCAGGTTCAATTACTGTCCCAATCTGTGCAACTTTGTCCACATTTTTTCATGGCATAGGATTTTATCTAAAGCACCAGTCTCAATTATAGCCAGTCCATGGTCCATTTGGGTGGTGGGTTTCTAAGTCCCAACCCATCATACTTTTATTTGCACAAAACCGTTACTACTTTCTGCATTTCATCCTGTATTTCATGCTCATGCAAAAACCCTGTTTGCATCTGAATGTGTAATAGCTTCTGAAATTAGAAAGAACATTTATTTGGCAAAGAGATCCAGGATTTGGGCTGCATAGTTGTCTAGCCTGTTACTCTAGCAGTCAGCTCCCATAAACAAAGTGCAATAGTCAAGCTAATATGAACTCAATCTACCTGCTGGGAAAATGCCTTTACCAGGCTTTTGTCTGTTTTACTGCCTTTATCTTGGCCTTTCCTGACAATGCTGCCAGTGACTGCTGAGAAGTGATTATGAAACCTAGGGCACTTAAAAGCATTCTTCTTTTGGAAAGAAAGAAAACACCACAACCACCTCATCTTGGCTCTGCTTGGATAACATGGTTTGGTTCGCTTTGCTCCTGCTTTTCACGCATCTCCAGTGCTGCTTTTCCTCTGCCTTTTGTGAATTGAGTTCTCAGGCACCGTGCAATATGTTTCCTAAAAATTGGGCACTCTAGAGGAGAAGCAGTTTTGGGGGGTCAGTTTCCTGTTCTTTCAGTAACAAACCCCTTTCCTTAAGCATGGCTCACATGACTTCTAGACTTAAGTACATGACTGCCTAAATTGGGAAATGATAGTCCCAATGACATACCAGTGGAGTAGAACTGAGTAATGCATTTTGGATTACAACTTCCAGAATCTGGCAACCAATGTGGCCTTGGGGATTTGGAAAAGCTAATCCTTAAAAGTAACTTTTTGAGCCCTACATTTAAGGGGTATGATGGCCTTTTGTATGGAATAGATGAAACACCTTATATGTATATATTTTGAAGGCATAACTTGCCAGAAAGAGGCTCCACACTGAAATGAATGTGTCACTGAACAAGAGGATTAGCATATGCTCTTGCAAAGTTCTGATTCATTTCAGTGGGGCTTGCACAGGTAAACTGAACTATACTCCCAGATTCCTAACTTGAAACATTTGCAGCTGCATTAGCCCATCTGTGAATTGTGTACCCTCTCCCAGATCAGTATGTGAAGCTCTAGTTTTAAGGCACAAAACTTCCTTTCAGCAAATAACAGTGGTTGCAACTCAAGTGTCCCCTATAAGTTAAAAAAGTGTTGCCACTCCGTTAGCATAATTGTGCAATATTTGGCAACACATAACAAGGGGAACACTTTCTGCACTGTAGCTTCCCCTTCTGTTCAAAGTCTGCTTGGGAGCTTTGTTTCTTATCTGATGCATTAAAACCTGATATGAATAGAAATTGTAACATATCCAGGAAAAAATGTTTGCTTTGCTACACTCCCTGCCTCTACTTGTTTCCCAAATGCCAGTGACGTGCTTGGCTTGCCAGATTGGCATGATCAACACAACTCTATTTAAAAGTTATTTTGATAATCTTGGTCCTTCCTTACCATCGAAGGGTACTTTAAAAACAAAACCAAATTTCAAATCCACCTCTTATTTTTTCCCTCTCCAATGTCTGTAATATGAAGGGTGGATGAGGAAACACCAAATATCATGCTATTTTACCTGGCATGGAATCTAGTATTAAGATTGTTTTTGTTGTTAGCATTCAGACAACCAAATTTGGGCAGAATCTGTTTTGTAACTTGTGCACGTGAAAACTGTGAATTTGATGTCTGCTCTTTGTTGCCTTTGAATTACAAACCTGACCCAACCAGTACTGAAGAACTGTGTCTTAGGAACAGCCTATGAGAGTGCGTGAGTGTGTGTCCTTCTTCTCCCCCTCTTTTCAAAAATGTTTGCAAAACTTGAGCTGGACTGTTGAACGGGACCTAGTTTCATAACAAATAACAAAGTTTGTAAGCTATTTTGTGTTGGGGAGGGAAGATGATTGTACCATAGTGTTTTTATATGCAAAATGTACAGATATACTTGGAAATGTACACTTTTGTTACTTTAATAAAAATGTAGCAATTTACGTATGTTGCTGGAAAGATCTGAAGTATTGGCTCATTCTTTGCAAAAATGATCCCAACAACTCTTCTAAACAAAGGACATTTTGTAGCTGGCGGGGAGCCCTAAGAGCCAGTATGTTGTGGTTTGAGTGTTGGACAGAAGACTGGGTTTGAATCCCTGCTCAGCCATGGAGACCTTGGCAAATTATACTTTCTCATTTTTAGAGGAAAGCAGTATCAATCCCCCTCTAAACAAATCTTGCCAAGAAAGTCTCACAAATTTGCCTTAGGGTGGCCATAAGTGGAAACAACCTGAAGGCACACAACAACAATGGACAGTTTTATGTGGGCAGGGGGAATTATGGCAGAAGAGAGACTAACTCTGAAGCTGCGTGCTGTGTGGACAGAAGCCACCAGTTTGTCAGCTCTAGTGCTGATGTAGTCATGGCCAATGAAGTGAGGCCAAGCTTGTATAAATTACGAGGGCCCAGTGTCTAGAAGAAGGCTTTAGGGCTACATTATGTATCCTTTGTCTTTGTAAAAAAGCAGACCCAAACGTGATCAGATTTTATTTATTTATCGTATCAGGAGCGAACCAAGGTTATAGTTGTGATGTGGTTGATCTGATAGTAAGAAAAGGAGACACCAACATTTAGAATCAAACAAACATTTGAGCATTGGATACACTGGACACTAGCTTCAAATTACATGCCAAATGTTCTAGGGCTCTGTTGTGCACGTGATTCTGACAGCCACACTTCCAGTTCTTCTGACTAGTATATGGGGCTGGTCTATATGACGTCCACTTCATATCTTATTTGAGAAGGGATCTTGTGAGAGTTCTGGGCTCCTTTGAAATCTCTAATTTCATAGGAATAGGGACTGCTTGTAAGATGTGATGTGGACTTTATATAGGTCTGTCTCATGTATACTAGCCAATCTTGAGTTGGACTCTCAACAGAGTATGCCCTCCTGTATTGTTGTTTGAAAAATTGGGAAAAAACAGTTTCAAGAATTTTCTTTCCACCACCGAGGGCCCATACCTGCTCTTGCAAGCTCTGAATATACTCCTGGTGTTTGTTTTGCATGTGTCATGAACCAGGGGCACAGCATCCTGAAAAACAATGTCCACTCATGAGAATACACTGCATGGTGCAGCAACAATGGATGAACTCTCCACCACTGTTCTTGCCAAGGCATCTGCCTAGCCACCTACTTTTCTACCCATAGCAAAATAATGGTATAACCTCTGGCCTACTGTTATTTCATTCAGTTTTGCAAGAATCTGCAGCTATAGTGCAAATGACTTAGGAAGAGCTGGAATGCACAAATACAACCTTAGTGAGGTTTAATGTCAGGTTGATCACTCCTGTGTAAAATTCAGATTCTCACATTTTTCTTTCCTGTGTATTTGTAATTTCAATGACACAATAGCTTTAAATTGCTCTTGAAGATGTATCCAAATAGGCCAAGAGTGTGAATCATGCACCCTTCTGGATGTTGTTGGGCTGCAGGTTTCATTAGACATAACTAACATAGTCAATAGCAAGGAGTGATAAGAAGGGTTGTAGTCCAACATCTGAATAGTTCTATGAATTCCATCCCTGAAATGAACCTGCCAATTAATGCTCAAACTGAAATTGATGTTTTTGGATTGTTTGCAGCTGGCACCCACATATCTTGTGTGAGGGCCTTGGACCTGGTTCTCCAGTTTTTGTGAGTCATCTCTATGAGAGAGAAATGGGTGCAAAATTTCCAGTTGTGGTGGGCTCCACTTTGGGCAAGAAAAAAGGAGCTGCATGAAAATCTCATGAACTGATTTGATAAGGCAACTTATACAGTTGTTCCACGCTTCATGACATCAGCTGACACTACATGGAGCATATACAGAGTGGGTTTTGAGATTATAGGAGGCTCTACATTTGCCATAAAGCTCCTAGTTAGGATAGGGTGATGTTTCAGGCTTCTCTACCCAAATGCAAAACAGAGGAGAGAAAAAAATGTGATTGCTTCTCAGAGTTAAGACCTGTTGTTTCCATTTGAAGAAACAAATACAATTCACAGTAATATTGCATTTGCCTTTAGGCAAGGATTTCATGCATTACTATCTATTTGCAGTACAAAGGTGCTACTAGATAAAACCTTTTAGTGTGCAGTTACTCTCTTTCCCCCATTGAATGTTGCTGGGAGTGGATAAGAATCTGACAATATCTTCCATTTGTAACCCTTCTGTTTTCATACCAGGTTTGTCTTTCCCACCGCAAAAGAAGACGGGGTTGCCACCAAACATCTTTTAATTGGTGATGTCAAGAACACTGAAAATGCTTAATGTGTCCATAGAAGGCACTAGTATTCAGTTCCCACCCCTTTGCCAAAGCGTTATTCCTAACTTGCCCTGAAATAACAAAATGAGACATTGTACAATGGTATAAAAGGAACTTCTTGAAATTTGCAACCTCCTTTCATCTGTTGTTATAGAAATGGCAGCTGGTGATGGGGGCTACGCCATAATTCTGTGCTTCACTTAATTGCTCTCACTTTCTTGCCAATTTCAAAGATGACGAAAGACTGGAATATTGTTTTCATGGAATCGCCATTCCAAGAATGTAATCTGTAATGGAGAAAGTCATAGATGCTCAGTTCTACTAATGTCAACACAGCCTTTGGCCCACCTTTATGAGGGTTTATGCCATTTCTCTCTTCTGTATTGGTTTATGTGTACACATTTTAGTGGGTTGAAATCAGTGGGATTTTTTTGGCAATAGAATGAAAACAAAAACTAAATGTTGGCACCTGGAAAACTATGCTGTATTCTATATGGTTTTTTTGAACACACACAATAGACATGGTCTTGAAGAGTAGATAAAATCTGTATGACTC